TTCCCCCTTGACCTGGATGAGCCAGAGAGTAGCCAGAGAATAATCAGCTAGAAGATTGTCACAGCTTTAAAACAACAAAAACCACCAACTAAAGAACAGGTAATAAAGTTACAGCAGAAGCTTAGACTACAGTCTCCGCCAGCTGAAGTGTTATCTGGTGGCAGTCATGAGGAGCCTTCTGTCTTTAACAGAATGACATTTGAGAGTTGTATATTTCCAAGCCTCCTGTTCTCCTTAAGATCCCATAAAGCATGGCTAGTTCCCTAGTGTGTCTGTGATTCTGAAAATTAGCAACGATGTCCCTTGTTAGTTGTACTGCAGAATGGCACAAGCCATTTCTCCTGTCCTGCCTGGGTACTGGAATGTATGCTCCTCCCCTGTTGTGAAAGGGAGCATGATGGTATTACAGTGTTCAAACTTCCTGTTAAACCTAGCAAATGAGAAATCAAGTGAGAGTCAATACTGCTGCTTCTCTTTACATTATCCTTATTTTTCATTTTCTTTGTAATCCCTTCCCTTAAGGATAAACTTTATTCTCTAGGTTGTGTGCCTCTAGAACACATGATGGCCAGTGAGTAAGAATAATGAAGGCAATTTGGACATGCATACCCTCTACCAGGCCCTCTGTCCTTCAACGGTACCTGCTGTAGAGAAGTTTCCATTAAAATTATGGTGAGAAAATGTAGGTAGAAGGGGTGTATCTGCTAACAGATGGAATAAGATTACTCTAACAAAGGCAATGAAATCTTGCAGAAACATTATCTTGAGGGAACAAGAGTATACTTTTCATGCTGAAACTAGCTTGCTATCCTATATAAGAGATGCACAGCAGTGCTAGAGTATAAACAGCTTGGAAAGTAAGTGTGTAAAAATATTCTATGCTGTGTGTTTATAGAGAGTGTACACAAGATGTGGGTTCTTTCAGTACTGAGTGGGAAAAAATACTCAGTTGTGGGGAAAAAAAATAGACAGCTGGGTATGTTACTTCAATATTACTTTCATTAATCTAACTTTGCTTCATGCAAAATGTTCCTCATCAGTAGGATGCCACAGCCTTTTGAGGGTGAGCAGTGTACTGGTGGTGATCAGAAGGGGGGCCTTGGTGTGTCTCCCTTGCTGTCTTGTAGGCAGTTTAGAACTCATTGGGTCGTGTTTCCTGCTAGAGGTGGATGATTGATTCTGAGTGTGGGTTTTTCTTTTTTTCCCATTATATTGACAGTTAAGCAGGTGTTCAGAAAACATTACCTGTTGAAGAGCTGCAAGCTGAATATACCTGACTAGCTATTGAACAGGGAATTTGACACACACCTTGGCTTTAGGACAGTCTGTGCTATCCACTGTATTGTTTGTTGCTTCTTCTACAAGCAAATCTAAGATGATATATAACATACTCCTGGGGGGTACTATGTAAAGAATAGCTGAGAGAGGATTTCCTGAAACAAAAAGTATCAGTGTTATTAGTAAAATGCTGCTTTTTGGCTTTTATTGTTACATTTGTGTATAAGTATGAAAAACATTGCTTTAGACCCCACAGGATTATCCTAGCCTTCAGTATGGTTCTTGAACGCTAAAGTTGGAAACTCAAAATAAATAGCTGGGTGAAGGAGTAAATGAGTTGGTAAAAGGTTAAGATGTTTCTGTAACGTTGTCAGCCTTTTTTAGTTTTATTAGTTGGTTTATGAAGGAAAAAAAGGTGTATGTAATTAGCTCGCTTCAGTTCTTTCTTCCAAATGAACTTTGAACAATGGTCAACTTGAACCAAGACTGACAGAGATAGTGGACTGAGATATAATTAAGCTCCTTCCCATTTTGGGGGATGGGACAGTTGAATAGAGGCCCAAGACCCCAGTAGTTCCTCTGCAAAGGGAGAAAGCCTGTACTGTGAGCTTTGTTTTCTGTTTTGTCCATCTAGTGGCTGGGCAGTCATTGCCTGCATGTCCTGAACCAGCCTCTTGACCAGCTAGTATTCAGGTGTTGTATCTATGCTATGACATGCTAGGGAACTAGCTATGCTTTGTGGGATCTTAAGGAGAACAGGAGACTTAGAAATGGAGAAAATTGGAGATAGTACAGAGGAGGGAGGGAGGGCAGGGAGTGTAAAGAGGTAAGATACAAATCTGTAGGAAACTGGACCTAATTAGAGTCTTACAGCAGGTATTTAGACAGCCCAGGAACTAATGTAGATTGTTGAATGAAAGTTTCTGCACCACAGTCACTGGAAAGGTGTGTTTGGTATTTGCTGGAGAAGGGTGCACTGGTGACTTTTGTAATGAAGGAATTGGGAGGAGAAATTTAATTTGTATTTCGCTGCCAATTCAATATATCTGTATTTTATCAGACTACTCATTTATAATGTATTTGCATCAGTCTCCACTGAAGAAAATAAAAAGTGGGTGTTTTTTTTTCTTCTGAGTGTTTTTTTCCCCCCCTCTTCTCCTCTACATGTTCCTCCAATTCTTCAGTCTTCTGTCTGTGTAAATATACTGGTCTTCATTCCCCCAAGTTCATGACATTCCAAGCTCCTAGTGCCAAGTATGAAAGAGGCTCACGCCTAGACAGTGTTCTGCTCTGTTCCTGGTGGAGCACTACAGTTAGTAGGGTTGGGTGATGTTACCCTGGTTGTTTCCTCTTAAGTTCCCCGTAGGCAGAGTGCTCTAGTTACGACACCATGAGCATGGGTGGGGATATGCCTGTTTTTAAATGTTACATTGAAAACCACATCAAAGTTATTTGTTGTAAGTGTGAAGTGTTAAAGGCTAGCTGAAGTGTAATGCAGAAAAAAGTTCCTCTTAGGGGACATTTGGCAAGATGCAATATATTATTGAGTCAGGTGAGAGTGGGGGAGGTCTCATGGGTCATACTTCATCTTCCTTGAGGGGCTGTTGCAAAGCAGCTGCCTGAAACCAGAGGGTAATAAATGGCATAAGAAACTCATGATATAACACGTGAAGAGAGTAGTTACACCAGAGACTACAATATTTTTTGATCTGTTCCTTATCAAAAGCTTGTCAATTCCTTCCGCAGTTCAAGTATTTGGGTCGTAAAAATTGGACTACCCAAAATGTCATGCTAATAGTTTTATTCAAGAAGCAAGCGGAAAAGATAGTTTTGTCCTGGCTTAGGATAGTCTACTAAGAAAAACTCAGGCTAATAAAAGACCTTATATGTTGTATCTGAATAATTTTTGTAAGCCTTCTGCTTCTGTTCTGCTTTTAATACTTAATATGCTGAGCACTGTGGTGATGAGATTTAAGAGTGCTTTAATCTTCACTATTTATTAGTATTTATTTATCTTTATGCAGGTTTGATGAACTTGCCTTAAAATCAGTTCACTCTGCCAACCAGCATTTCTTTTAGTCTTAATGCTACAATTTTGTTAATAGACAGGGATGTCTTTATGTAATGGATGTGAATGGATGTCTCCATTCACTTCAGTGGCATTTCTTACAGCTCCTGCAGTCTGTTCTTGCATGACAAGTTATTGTTGGAAGGGACATGCCGGAAGTTTAACTTTCCCTCTTTGTTGTTTATGGCAGCTATGGCCGATTAGCTTTTGTGCATACTTACAGACTTTTCTGTAAGAAAGTGGTGCTTATCTTGCGTGAATAAGCTGAAATAGCTGTAGAAAATGATAGACCAAGTACAAGGAAGGTGTTGGGGGAAAGAAAAAAGTAACCCAATTTCTTGTGCTTTCCTTCAAAAAAGACCAGTCTCACAAGGCAGAGCATGCTTATTTTAGTCCTCTTGCAGTATATATGTTTGTTAAAGGAGGGACAGAAGGACTTCTAAAGCCTTCCCCCTGAAAACTGCTAGCTCATAAAATGAAGGTTCAGGTAGCTCCCTTGTCACAGTGCTTCTGTCAGGGTCAGACAAGGAGGAAGAGCCATGCATCTGGTTGCTACTGAAGATTGTTAGGTTAAGAGGAGTGGATTTCAGAGCTAACATCTTGCGCAAGATGAGAGAGAACCAATAGGACTGACATATTTTGGAATAAAAATAAGTAACTTTTCAGACTGATTTTGATAAGGTATAAACGAAAACTTATATGCCAGGACCACCAGGCCATCCTTGAGTAAGCCACATCAATGACAAATACATACATTGCCTAGATCAGATTTCCTTCTGATCTGAAGTTTCCACGTTGTTTAAAAACAGACAAGCCAAGCCTCCTCATTTTAAATCAATGAAAAAATGCACTAGGCCTGCAGTACAGTATAAATTTCTCAGCCAGTATAAATAAGGAAACTTAGACCTGGTCTTCATTTGGATTTCTATATCGATATATGCATTTTGATTAGCAATCATAATTCTTTCCTATTTAAAAAAAAAACTAGTATGAGCTCTATTGTTAATGTAGTTATCCTCACGTAAAGATATCTTGCAGCATTCTTCCTCTCCTGAATAGCTGAATACAGCTGTACTCAAACTACATTTATACTGCAATAACTGCATGACCTCTGTTATGTAGTTTTTTGTGGGCTTTATTCTAGTATATTGAGCTAAACTATAGAATGATGTCTGCATCGAAGATAAAATTTGGTATGTATTTTCAAAAAGAGAATGAGGATGTTGGTATGGTATGATATGCTGATGTATAGCCAGGTCTCTGAAGTAGAGCTAATGCTAACCTTTAGGAGTTGGCAATTTATTAATAAAACTTTTAACCTCATGTGGTGATCTAACCACTTGGTGAGGCAGCTGCACCTTTCTGTTTCTTTGAAAGCTTTTATTTCATTAAGTTTTCTCAAATTAATGAAGACTTCAGGAAACCTAAAATGGTCCCTCAGCAGTCTAATCTCTACCCTTGCCTCTAGCCTGTGATAACCTTTCCTCCCCCACAACTCTTACTGCCTTCAGGTGTGGTTCTTGTTGGCCTTCTGCCTGGTTGGGGCAATGAGCTTTGTTCCAGGTCCTTTCTTGATTGAGAGCATCTCTTCTCTGCTCATCTTCCAAAATGAGATATAAAATACATGTAGGTTCTTGTAGGCTGGGGTGCTCACATGCATTGCAAATTCCTTTGCCAAATCACATGTCTTGTTCTGCCCTTGAACTTCAGGCAGGCATCCTGTTTTAATCACCAGCAGACGCTGAATCAATTTGCATGTGTTTATTCTGATTTTGAAAATCCAATCCATAGCTAAAGGTAACATGTTAACGTGGTATTCTCTGCAGAGTGAATTATGTGCCTTGGCATAAGTATATGTGCCTTGGTATCAGTAATTATAGTGGAGAGTATAATTAATACCTTTCATGTTAGATTCGGTAAAGCAGAGGTTACAGATTAGTTGAAAATAATAAGCACATTCTATTTCATGTCAATATTTTTGCATGTTCTAAATAAGGAAAGCTTTAAAAAAAAAAGCATAAAGCTTTCACCATTTCACAAGAGTTATGCTCTGCTAGATATTCTTTCTATACTGCTGAAGTTCGTTCACATGTACATTTCAAAAGAGGGGTTAATCTCGACGACAGGGTATTGCAGCATGTATTTTTATATTATGCAAATCAAGAGAAACTTTTCCCTCTGTATCATAATTCACAAACTCAACAGAACTTTCTCTTTTGTTAGCAGGCTTGGTATTTGCAAGTTCCCTGCCTTGACAGTAATCATCATGGACAGTGGTAAGTTTGTTAACTTAGTGATGAATGCACATGCATTATTCCCCATGGAAGTCAATATTAACACACCTGCAGAATGTCCTCCCTCCAAAATCTCAGTCAGTTCATGCCAAAAATATCCTTTGCTAATGAAGTTTTTTTGTGGTATGTGTGATGTAGAGTTTTGCTCACGTGAAACTGAATTGGAATTGAAATTGTGCTGTTTTTCTGACATAGTTACTATACCCAGACTATAAGAATAAACTCCATAAACTTATTCATGGACCTTTGAAAATTGGCTTAAAAATAGAGAGTGTAGGGGTGAATTTGCAGCCTTGCATACTATAGTTTAGTTTAATTGTTCCTAAACTTACCTAAGTAACTCCAGGATCTCAGAGCACAATTCACTTTTGAAACCTTAAATGTAAATGCTCAGAAGACACTTCGCTTTTCTTCCCTATGCAGACTGAATAGTTTAATCAAGATAATCTGCAGAAAGATTCAAATTTACCAGTAGCTGTAGCTTCTAATTAAAAATGAAATGTTTATTTCTAGTATTTAGTGGTGGTTTTAGTGTACTTGATAAGGAGACAGGGAAGGGGAGGCTAAATAATGTTCTCATTGGAGCTTTTACGAGAAACTTGGTGCCCAGAATGCCTTGGGCTTTGCTTCTGCAATGCTGAGGAAAACCAAGAGGCTTTTTCCACACCGCTGCTTCCTGTTCCTTCTGTCACTAAAGACCTGAAGCCTGTTTTCCTTGGCTGTGACAGCATCAATTGACAGGGCTCAGATATATTTATCTACTCTGGTGATATACTTATGTCCTTGCCTATATCTTTTGAAGATGTTAAGGGAAGAATAAGTAAAAGAGGGCTACAGCAAGCTAAATCCTTCTGCAGGTACTTGAGCTATTTGATGGTATTGCTTGCATTTGGGTGCTGGAGTGGCAATACTGGAAAAAGAAGTGTGCTTTATTAGTAACTTTTGTTATGGAGTATGGAATGCTTTTTTTTTTTTTCTTTTAATATTTTCTGACTTTATTGATCTGAAGACTCACTTCCTTTTTCTGGTCTTCATTCACTTCAGCATTAAAGAATGCTTGGAGATTTAGCAGACTTAGCAGGGAGTGGTAAGTCTGAGCCATATCTTGTAAGAGATGAGTACAGATGTCCAGAGCTCATCAAGAACTGTAATTTCCTTTTAATAGGAAGTTTTATTTTAGGTTCTGTCAGTAATTTGAAATGGTGACTTGGTGAAATGATGTATTCACTGTATGAATTCACTATATTCATAAATACACTGTAGTGACAGGAGGTTAAGAAACTGCTTTTACTAAAAAGAGTAATTTGATAATCTGGAAAATAATTTAGACCTGATATTCAGTATGAGTCAATGTCAGATGCCTGCCTCACTCCTTGTGAGCAGTCTGCCTTATTGCCTGTAGTGCTTGTGTAAATGCTATGAATATTACTGCTTCGGCTAAGTTTTTGATGCAAAATCTTGTAGGCTGTACAGGAGATAAAAGTAACTATTTAAGTGTAGGATGAAATTAGACATGCATTCAACCTTACAACTCCTAGAGGAAGACAAGCTCAGTACCACACATGAAGTTATGCTTTTTAAAAACTTCTTAGGAGGTTTTGAGGTAGGTGGGGTATAAAGCAAAATGTGCCCTCTGTATTTTCATAATTTACAAATGCAAATTTAGTGACTTTTTTGTTTGTTTCAGATTGAATAGATTGTGTGCAATCATAACAGTAAACAAGTTTCCCTGGGAATGTACAATAAATTGAGCTGACTGTATTATACCCTTTAATAATAGTAAGTCATAACTAAGACTTTGAAATGGTGTTTTTGTAGCTTTCTGATGCATTCAGAACTCTCTAAAATATAAGTATTACTTGCACACAGAGAGCACTGTGTTTGATATGTTTGAAGAAATAAATGTGTTCCAATGCATCAGATTTTGTAGTTGTAAATCTTCATCTATATTCTACCAAAAAAAGGGGGGGGGGTGCGACAGGGAGATTTGAAGTTACTTATTTTTGTGGCTATTCTACATAACACCAAAACCATACCTTTAGTTTTTCCTTATTTGCTAGGTATCTCCTTTACAAATTTAGTAATTAGGTTTAGTTTTGCTTTACTTTACTCTTGCCATGTGCAATTTTTCCCTGATCATTTTGAGCTCCACAGTAACAGCTGTAGTGAATTCAGCCACACTGTAGCCTGGCTAGGTGGGCATCCAACACAGGGAGGTTTTTTATATGCTTCAGTGCAATTACAACTGAATGTCTACACTATGGTGGTGATGGAATACTAAGAAGTTAAAGTGGTTTCTGCAGTATGGTTCCATTATCTCTTTTTAGGTAATTCGTCAGGCAATGACTGATTCTCATTAAATCAATATCTTTTCGATCAGTACCTCCATCAAGATTGCTTCGATAAGTGTGTGGTGTGTTGTTTGTGCTTCCCTGCTACATTTGTATTGATTTCTGAATAAGAATGTAAAGCCATTAGGAGTCTGCGGAGCATTAAAAGTGCCAAATCGAAACAAATATATGAGCAATTTTGCTTCATTTTTTTACAGTCTTGCAGGGTCAAAAGCAATTCCTGATCTGGACTAATCACAAGATTTATCAGATCCCTTTAGAATGAGTATACTGTGCAGTTTATTTGTTTCATTGAGCCTTTTTGTCTCTGATGTGTGGGCTTCTATACTGCAGCTTGAGAGACCCTTTCTGAATATGAATTGCAAAATAAAAAGTGTGTGTGTGTGTGTGTGTTTTTTTTAAGATAGTCAAATATTGGCCATACTCAAATATTAAATTATTTTAATGTTTTGCTTTTCTTCAACATCTTTTGAAGCAGAGGTGTATGCTTAGCTCTTCTTGGAATACTAAAGTGTTACCTAGAAACTTATCCTAATGTGTAGGAAACGCAATATTGTATGACATTCCAGCTTTTAAACCTTCATTCTCAGTTTGCTTCTTTGGTAAATTGGAAACTGCATGCAGAAACAAAGATTTATGTATTGCTTCTGAGGGCTAGCAGTTTTCAGTTATGGTATTTTTTGCTGCCTGTGTTTTCCTCTTCAGTCCTTTTTACCTCTGTACACAATCGAAAATTATGGTAGTTGCTTCCATTGCTTTTTTCAGGGATGGGTTCCATCTGTGAAATGAGAGTCCTTAGGTCTCATCTGCTGAGGGAAGGGAAACTGTTGATTTACAGTGCGTTATCTACTCTTCAGTGACTCCACGTATGGACGCTCCTAAGAGCGTCTGTTCTATAGTTTGTTCCGCTTCAGGAATGCGCACAGGAGGAGTTGGTGAGAAGATGGTAGAGCACTGGAAGTTCATCCCTTTACATGATTGCGCGCTGGCTTCCTGATGTGGGCAAATTCTTAATCACACCACGTTTAGGTGATCGCTCAGGCGTGTTGGAAGCCAGTTTTTCAGACCTTTGCTTAGAGGGGAGTCAGGAGAATTGTGTGGGGAATTGAAAGACGCTATCTGTCTTTTTTTGGAAGAGATTTTTGAATGTTACTTTATACTTCATTTAGTCAGTGAACTCGCACAATGGGATGTGCCCATGTACTCACTTGTGCTGAGGAAACCAAAATTGCAGTAAGCGCAGCTGTAGAGTTGTATGCACTGAATTTCTGTCAGCATGATGAATAGTGTAATCTATGTGGCGCATGTATGCCTCTGGTAATTGTTTGTATAAAAGTGGTCTGTTCTGCATGTAGCAGGTTATTTTGTAAATATTTGGCTCTCACACAACTTTGTACCAGAATCATGTATTCAACTGAAAACCTAAGAATGATTGATTGGTGTTGTTGAGTTTAATCTTCAAGTATTTAATCCTTTGCAAAAGGAAGATGATGAAGTTTAATGATTTAGAAAGTAAGTACACAACAGATACTGAGCAAACTGAAATTTATGTAAAATAGATCAGTAGATCAGCCTCATTATGATAGTAGCCTCCTTGCTGAAAAATGTCACCATGCCTAACCTGTAAGAAAGCAAAATAATATAGTGATCATCTTTATAGACTTACTGCCTTCCTTTTTTTAATATTTAAAGTATGATTATTTAAGAAAAAAACACAACAAACTTTAATTCGCATAAAATCATAGATAAATCGTTTCAAATCAGTATAACAAAGTCATTCTCTGTTGCTCTGCAGACAGTGAGAGTTTGTCTTCGTGGTGTGGTGGAGGTTCCCAAGCCAGCTCTGAATGAAGCGATGCAGAGATGGTAGCACAGCTCAGGAAAGCAGTATAACTATGTGCATATGGCAGTGCATTGAACTAGTTAGCCCCAATTGTATGCAGTCGCAATGCATAAACAGTTTCACAGATGTGGTTTTCTTGCTTCCTGGCCTGAAATGGCTGAAGAACTTCTGCATCATACACTGCAGACATAATTTGGGGGTTATTCTGTCCTCTGGATTTTGGAGTGTTCTAGTTTTGTGTTGCTGTAAAAATCATTGATCAGGGAAATCGAGGAAAAAATGGAAGGTCAAAAGATGAGATTACTCCCAGCTCTCTTTGAACAGTAAACAACATCCCTGAAATGTTACTAAGGAAAGCAAATAAAGAATACGTATGTCAGAACTTTGGGGATCCTTCTTCCTCCCCGCTTTTTTTCTTTGAATCACTGAATAAGTCTCTAGATTCTTGAGCAATAAGTCCTTACAATTGTAAAACAATGCTATTTTAAGATGGATTTTATCTGTATGAGTCAGGAAAATGTAATAAGGTGCTCCTCTTTTTTTTTTTTTCTTCCTTTCTTTCTTTCTCTGCTCCCTCAAAACGTTGCTATTTCAGGTTAATGTTTCTGAATTGAAAGTAGCAAATCAGCTTCAAAGTTGCTTAGGCAAATATATATGATTTAGACTTAAACTTCGATAAACGCAACTCTTCTAGTGTATGACTGTGCCTGGAAAATATTCAGAAATATTTGTATCTTCAAAAGCTTCTGAGCATTCAGGCTGTGATGCGCGCAGCCAGTTGCTAGTGTCTTTTTTTTTTTTTTTGAGTGTTCACAGGCAAGTATTGTTTATTGTCCGTCATCTTAGTTTAAGAAATCACTTGAGCATATGCCTGTCTATTCACAGTATTCTTCTTGGGCACAGGTTTTAAACCCTGAAGTAAAAATTTTAACATAAACCTGAGTGCTTTCTAATACAAAAGTGTGATACAGAAGTGAGGTCTGTCATATTTACATTATAGTAATAAATATTCCTGCCTAGATTTTTCTATAGTTAGTGAAGAAAATTTGGAGAGATCTTTTATCATGTTAAATAAAGGGGAGGGCCTTGAAAAAGGGGTTTTTTGCTGCCCACCCCCCAAGCACATTTTCTTTTGAGCAATTTTACCATGAAGTTTTGGATACTTTAAAAGTTTTGGATATTTTAAAAGTGATTTTTGTTATTTTTCCTCTTATTCAGTGTTCCTAACAGAGGACAAGGCCAATTCTGTGTTAAAAAGATACCCAAGAGCCAACAGATTTTTGGAAGAATTAAAGCAAGGT